CTGAGACGTTTGTCTATGTAATATAACTTTACACAACATTCAGCAACATTGAGACATTGTCACACGAAAAACGTTTCTCTTGCGTTATTCTTCAAATGGCTTTATAACGTACCCGAATATGTCCAAGCGTTATATTACATTCGTGACGATGTATTAACGTTTTGGCAACATTTGGTGCTAGTAAGAGAAGAATTACTGCTTCTTAATGGAGCTTTACACCAGTTTCTAGCAGGGGTCGTTGAGAACTTCGGTGTCCTGCTCGGTGATCGGAAGGGTGCATCGTTGGCCTTTGCCAACGATCTTGTCTGATCGCCAGGTTGCCCCTTGGTCTACGCTATCTCTTAGATACGTTTATTGATTTTCTTAGGGTTAAAGGATTTAAAATTAATATTTTTTTTTTTTAAATCGTCTGCTTTTGGCTTAGTGGGTGGCGGAAAAAATAAAAAAGGACAAATCTTTTTAAGTTAAATTTGAAGCCTTTCCGCTGCGTGCGATCGAGTGTTCCGGGTCGTGTGAAGTACATACCTCGGTGTACAGATTAAAGGGGAACTGCCACCTCAAATGTAGATTTTGTTTCAACTAAAACGATGCAATGTGTAGTCATAGACACGCAAAAAAATACCACAACGCCAGAAAAGAAATTTCTCACGCGCGCGCGCCTTTTTATCTTCCTTTTCTTTTTATCTACCTTTTATCTCTCTCCCTCTTCTCATTTCCTCGCTTCTTTTTATTCGTGACGTCAAAAAATATTAAATTTAGAAACTTTGTAAACGACATTTTGTAATATTTAAGAACGGCATTCGTAGAACATGTGGTTTGACGCAATTGCGAACGCACTATGGCCTTTCTTTCTGAAATATCGAAAATCGGAGCCCGGAGTTATGTCGCCTCCTGGCTTTTTACCCTCCCTCGATAAACTTGGCGGCGCCGCACTGCTTGGCACATGTAACACTGAGGATCATTGGCGAGTCGGGGAATTGAACAATGTTCTCCTGTTCAGGTTCCTAGCGACCTATCAGACTTCGATAAGGAAATCGTCAAACGGTCAAAACAACTGGGTTTGGTGTCTGTGTACCGTAGTTTCCGTTGTGACACTCCGCCGGGGCAGCCTTTCACGCAGAAGCGACGCGACATGAACCCTCCCGTCACTCACAAAAGTCCACTGCGCGTTTTCTTCGACCTCACACCGTTTCAAAGAATTTGAGATCGCTGATCCTAAAAGAACTTGAAACTGGAAAGCGAATCGTCGTCTGCTCACAACGATAGGCGGTACACGGTGGCAAGCAGTCGAAGACGCGGGCGAATACGACACTTCGGGCCGGGACGGAGGCGCCAGAGAAACTCGAGTTGCAGGACGACTCAATTTTTGAGGTCACTGCACAGGCGCCGATCGCGCGGGAACTTCAAATTCGGCTTTTGGAAACATTTCTCTACTTCACAAATACTGCGTTCACTAGTTTCGAAGTTTGGGGATAATGTTCACGCATCGTAGTCAATCGTTTCAGACAATAAAAAAGAATAATATAATAATTTTGACCTGTTCCCTTTTAATACCTCCGATGAAATATTGTGATTGTTTAGATTTTCATGGGCTAGTTTTGAGGCTGGCTTCACACCGCTTAAGTCACATCAGAAGTTAAACACTTAGACGTTTTACTTAGTACCACGGTTTTTCTACGACCTAGTGATTTGTTCACCATCGAAGTTTTTCCTTCACCATTTGGATAGAAAGACTGGAGGGGCAGCGAGGCCGTTCTTCCATCTTCCCGTGGACACGCCGTGCGCTTTCTTCTCTGCGCCGGTCGCGGATGGCGGGCTTCGGGTTCATTGTGTGGCGACAATGATAGCCCGGATTCCCTGTTTATGGCTCCTAGCCATGGAAGGCTGTGAGACGGCCCTGGCAAGGCATTCTTAGGCAACTCACTGTACAGTGCGTCAAAGACTTTGATAGTACAAAGCGCGTAGCCTTTATCCTTAACGTCGTGTTTTGTATCAGTGCTACACAATTTATGTTATAATGAAGCTAGCATGTTTAGAGAAACGACTTTTGGTTGGCAACTCTGTCGCTGCCGATGTGACGTACTGCAAAGAAAGATTTCTTTAAGATAGAAGTTTTCTATTTAAATATTCCTACGTATAAACTGAACCCGAGTTAAATACTCACTAGAACAAATAATGTGACCTTTAAAAGGACCTTGCTGTCTGTTTACAATGTCACCTGACCAATGTAACTGCACTCTTACCTTCGTTCGCCCTAAAGGAAGGCCTGTGTTTCCTTCTCCAGGTCGTTTCCAGGCAGTTCTTGAGATGAAGAAATGCAATGGAGTGGGAGCTACGCTTGCGATGAACTAAGCACTGGGGACGCGTATCTCTCCAGCAAGATGGAGCTGCACAGAACGGGTTCCTTGGTGCACACTTTGCGTCGTCCACGGGAGGTCCGGATCGGCTGACGAACTTCGCTGTGGGAAGATGGGTGGTACTTGCGTCGGAGCCCAAGTTGCTTCTCTTGACAACGTCTACTAACTCTGTAGCAGTGGGTTACTTTTATATAAACGATTGAATACTTTTGCAACGAATAAAGATAGATAACCGAAAGAAAGCTGCACAGATTACTCTCTAGAGGGAGGTGGGAAGGAGGTGCTCAGGTGTTAGCTCGGAAGTTGGCTGGCTCGTAGGATTAAATCCCGATTACGGGGGTATTGTATCCCGGAGTCCCTTGGCAGGGTTCGATTAGGGAGCGTGAGCTCTGGAGCTCCAGCAGCAACTAAAACCCGTTCATTCGTTCGTGATACGTTTCCCACTTGCAGCGTTCCCATTAAATATGACTGGTTGGCCCGCCCTCTTTTGGTGGACCGGCGATTCCCCGACGGGTCATGAGACGGGCGTTTCCTAGTGGCCGAGAGGCCGCAAACAATCGCCCCACTTTCCCACCGTCGGGGAATTGCTTAAAGGGAAGCTACGGAGCTTCTTGGAAAAAATGAGTTAGAAGTGAATTCTAGTGTATTTTTACCCCCTAACCCGAATACCCAAACCATTTGCAGCCTAAGTATTGTTAAACGCGAGAAAAACGCGAAAGACAGTCGCTCTCCGTGACGTCATCGACGGCTCTTTTGGCTGCCCAAGGCTAGGGAGGCGGAGCTTCAGTCCTACTTTGAAATTTGCTCGTATGGCTCTCCGGCGCGTCGCATTGAAATACAATTTTAATATCTGTTAATCTAAAGGACAAATGAACGCAATTCAAGCGTTTTTTCTCAAATGTAGAAGTGCCCCATCTTCCCTTTAAGTTTCCCGCGTGAGACCCCACGACCTGCGCATGTCCAGTGATGGAATAGGCATCTGACCTTTTGTAGCAGGTTGTGTAGTGGGGAAATGTTGGTTTGGAGCAGCCACTGACTCTTTTGGAGCAGATGCCGACATCTGTTAGCACATCACTCGAGAATGAAAAACTGATTGAGTCTCTTAATGAGTTTATTTATGATAGTAATCAAGGGTTTGTGTTTGGCACTCGAGCAGGTTACTTATTACTGTTTATAGAAAAATAATATATAGAGCATTAAAGGAACACGTTCTTAAATAAGGCTCTAGTCAGAGGTTTCATTTACAGTGGGTATTAAAAAGGGTTGAAAAGTGTATCGTAGCGTAGTGGATTGAATCTTTCCTCCCCTTTTCATTTTACACTCGGTAGTTTGTTTAGACTGTAGATATATTTTTTTAATGCCAGCAAAACCAGCATATCCGCTAACACGTCTACCAATAAAGATGCGTCCCGTAAGTTTAATGAAGCGACCAAACGCAAGCATATAATAATATAGATTACAAAAGCAGCCAACCAACAATACTATAAAGGACTACAGTCGCGCTTTAAACTCGATAAAGTTTTTTTAGCGGCGTTAAAACCAGAGTTACGTCGAAGTTCGCTGCTCTTTCGATCGACAGCTGCACGGAAACTATCAGGACTACCATATTCATTCAAATATATATAGACTCGTGTTCCCTTCTCTCATTATCTGTTCCTTTTAATTGGAGATTAACTTACAATGAGGACAAAGAAGTTCGCCCCGTAATCATCCTGACCATAATGTGCCTGCCTATCGAGCTAAGCCAGGCGCTTCCCCGTGTCAGCCGCTGCTCCTAGCACTCCGGTGCAAAGCGGTGAAGCTCCACGCGTGCACGCAAGTGAGAGCCGCAAGTACCCACGCTATAATCAAGCGACCTTATCAGGAGTGCAAGACCCTGGTTTCCCTTCATGTAGTATGCAAAAGGTTTCTCGGGGACTCTTAGTTCCTGACATCGACGACACCGTCTGAAACTTTAGTCGATGTCGGCGATCATCGACTAAAGGCCCAGAGTTCAAATCCTGGCTCCGCCAATTTTTGGCTTTCGGCGGGTTCCCGTAAACTTTGATTGTTTGATTCATTGGATTAAGTACGGTTCATTCATCTGCACATATTCGTTCATATCCTCCTCGGAGACCACGTACGATGCTGTGAAGTGCCCGTGTTATATATATATATATATATATATGCAGGTGTGGGGGGCAATTCTTAGCAAAAATGGCATTTTGGCGCATAATGCAGCAGACGTCCCTTCATGAGCAATTTGGCGCAAATGACGCAGCATTTTCGTCACTGCATGTCTCACGGCCAAACGTCAGGCGGGTTTGGACGCGAACAAACTCTTCCTTAGAACTCGCCAGGCGAGTCATACAGCCGACCCCGCTGTGGACAGCACCGACGATCGTTCCGCCAGATGTGGTCTAACCTTGCCCATCCAACCACCGAACTCTCCGATAGTCCTCCCGGCCCGAAACGCACGTTCCAGTTCTCTCGGCTGAAAACGCACGTTTTGAACCTCGCGTCGCAAAGTATACGCCCGTCTCTCGAAGTCGCCCACCACCGCGGGAATCGTTCGCCAACGCTTTCGTAGACCAGCCAAGTCCCTCTCGTGCTAACGGCCCACAGCACAGCCTTCGTCGACCCTTACACCCACGGTTGGGAAAAGTGACCCTTTTAGACGATACGCTACTGGGGAACAGTAAGCCGAGGCCAATTCTATGTACAATGTATTTATTAAAAAGCAAAAGAAGAACTCGCCGGTGTCACCCTTGTCTTCGGGTTTCCCCAGTGTCGTTAGGACCCGGTGCCCTCCCCCCTCCCCCATCATTGAGTCCATCTACCGCTCCTGGTCATTGCAGGTGTGGTGTTTCCTCATGTGGCTTCTGAGTTCACCTGGGGCCAGGAACCCTCTGCCGCAGTCCCCGCACTTGTGGGGATACTCTTTTGAGTGCGCCCGGATCACGTGCTTCTTCACGTCGCTTAAATTAGAGGTCCTGTAGGAGCACAGGGGGCAGGCATAAGGCTTCTCGCCGGAGTGGGTTCGCCTGTGGCTTGCGAGGTGACCTCTCTGAACGAATCCTCTCCCACACTCTGGGCAGACGTGGGGCCGCTCTCCGCTGTGCGTCCTCTCGTGCGTCTTCAAGTGTGCCAGCAGGGCGAACTTCTGCCCGCACTCGGCGCACTCGTGAGGCCGCTCGCCCGTGTGCACCCTCTGGTGCGTGGTCAAGTGGCCCTCCTGCGTGAAAGCCTTGCCGCAGGTGCCGCACACGAAGGGCCTCTCTCCCGTGTGGGTGCGCTCGTGCTCGACTAGGAGTGGTTTGTTATCGCTGGAGTAGGGACAGTGACCGCATCGGTGCCTGCCCTCTCTCCTCCCGTGCATCCTCTTCCGGTGTCCCTGGAGGTGCTCGAGGGAAGCGAAGACGCTGTCGCAGTCCCCGCACGCGAAGCTCTCCGCTGGCCCCTCGACGGACGGTGCATCTTCTTGGCCTGCACATGGACGAGCAAGACCGGGGGGTGCAGAGTGTTAAGTGGGAACAGTCTACCGTAACATCCCGAGAGATGCCCCTCCCCCGAAAGGTAACCCGCCCCCCATTTTCGGATCGATTTGTTGTCTCCCTTCAAAACACCAAAAGATAGCCTACTCTTAGTAATCGTAGTGTTCGGATCAAGGATGATCTTGGCGTAAATGCGTCCGGTTAGCTAAGGCGGGATATATAATACCCGTACCACGCGGGCAACTCGAATGCCATTTACAACGAATGACATTTGAACGATCGGCCAATCGGCGCGCGACGCTCCGGGCGTGGCGCATTCCACGCGCGACAGATCGCGAGCCGATTCGTTGATCAGACGAATGTCATTCGTTGTAAATGGCATTCGAGTTGACCGTGTGGTACGGGTATATAAGCGAACATTCCTGACTGGGAAGTACAGTAGTCTTTGCTTCATTGCCACCTCACCGTGATAACATATTTGACAGAGACACGTTATCTAAAAAAAATATTTTTGTTTTCAAACTTTCTCGACTGCAAACCAAAAGGTAGCCCATTCCTAATATTCGTACAATTTTCTTTTAATTTTGGATGGGCTATTTCTCTGGATATTATAATAACTTCATATTTCAAGAAAAAAAAAACAGTATTTTTATATATCGGGGTTCCATTACTAACAGTGCACTCCTGCCAATTTTTATTCCAATGACAAACTTCGAAACTCAGCGTATCCTTGCACCCGATGTCCCCCACTCACGCTTCTTCTGGGCTCCGTCCTTGGCTTCGACGAGTCCTAGCTCGGCGCCAAACTCGTCCCCGTACCAGACGAGCAGCTCGGTCCCCGGCGCTATCTTGGCCCTTGTCTGGTAGTAGACGCCTCCCCTGTGCTGGAAGGCCACGAGGTTCTGGCTCTTCTCGCTCGGGGCGCAGTTGACGTAGCGCATCCAGTTGGACACCGACAGGGGCCGGGCGTCCACCAGGTAGCCGCCCCGGCCACGCACCTGGATCCGGGCAAGTGCACGCAGTGACGCACCACTTTTACACCCGCCTGAAGCATTTCAAGGAGATTGTTTTGGCAACTAAATCAGATTATCATTGATTTAGTGTTTACTTGGGGATACATTTCTTGAACTTCGAGTTCTTATGCTATAACTGAGGTACTGACGAGAACAAAGAAACCTACTTGTAACTTCCGTAATTTTGGATGCGCTCATCTGGGAATGGGTATCTCTGAATTGGCGACTTTTTGTGCTATCTGTGCGAGTACAACCTGAAGGTGATGCGTGCTGCTTGCACATTGTTGCTAGTAAAAAAGTATCTTTAGGATACCGCACCGCCAGAGCACAAAGTATTAGCGTCTTTTCTAGCGCTCTAAACTTGTTCCTGTAACACCCTTAGGATGTTATCCTTGAGACCAGCTACACCCATAAGGGAGTATGGTATTCTATAGTGTGTACCCCGACAATTCCATCCTCCCTTTCAGGTTCAGACCCTTCGAGTTCACGCATGCTCGCGCAGCCCACAGGGAGCACTGCACCTTCCAGGTGTATCCGTTGCCCCCGCCGGAGCCGGCGAAGCGCACGCCTTCGTAGGGCCCGTAGCACAGCCTGGCAGGGAGGGGCCTGAGGGTGAAGACCCCCTTCCCGGCCCCCTTGATGCAAGACCGGGCCAGCGTCAGACCCTCGGGTAGGGTCTTGTTCGCGCGCTGGGGGTCCCCCGGGGGAACCTGAATTAATCAGAGGGGACGGATATGACGTTGTAACGAATATATAAACAGAGCTCACGTACTTTAAGGACTTTATCAGCGAGGATGACAAAAACGAACGTGTATTTGTTTGTACTATTACTTATTTTCGAACAAGGCGACAAAACTTCGGTTTCAGTTGTGATTTTGTAAATCTAACAGAAAATATGTACTAAAACAAAATCTGTAAGCATTTCGGGCTGTGATTGCAAACCCGTGATATGTATAGGACGCTCGAGGATCGGATACTTCCTGACACATCCAGCTACGCTAAAACTAGGAGACTTGCAGGCGGGAATACCACTTTTGGTATGGTTCACTTCAATGAAACTGACAGAATATTATGGGAGCAGATAATTAGACATTTTTATGGTTTCCATCGAGGGTTTTCTGGATATCCTCCAATGTAATCACTAAAATATAGACGCTCAATTCTTGAAGTGTATTGTCTCCAATGTAGACTCTGGATAACGACTTAATAGTATAGTACACTAGAGTTCGCAGATTCTTATCATTGGATGTCCAGTCTGGTGCTGGAGCAACCGAAACCCGCGTGTATACTTTCCGGGGTAGCACGCGGAATTCAAGGGAGGTTATCGACGTACACAGGTAACGCCCGGACCCGAAAGTGAAAACTCGATCACGCCATGAAGTCCCTCTTCTCCCAACACAGATGGCTTCCACCGTCTCTTCGCAGCTTCCCCGCTCTCCTGCCATTTCAAAAGCCCACAATGCCTCCTCGACGCGCGCCAGACACCGAGGAAGTCGTGTAAATATCTCACCGGTGTGTCCTTGACGAACTGGAGCGGTCCATGGACGGGACAGTCGCCGTGCCGGTCTTCGCCGCACTCCAGGCAGTCTGCACAACGGACAGCAGTGAACAACCCACTTCTGTAGCCCCATTATAATTAATTAAGCTTTTGAATTTAACATGGCGTGTCACTGAGGGAAGGGAGAAGGTCTCTTGTCCGAGTACCCCCGACTTGTGGACACTCACAGAAGAACTCGTCCTCCGAGGGAACTTCGCACTCGGCGTAGTTGACGGACTTGCGGCTCCGCTTCGGGTACCGCGTCTGGCTCGAGGTGCCCTCTCCGGGATCTGCGCACGTCACCGGACGAAGAAAAGTCACCCCTTACCAAATGAACCGTTCACCCGATGCCCTGATGCCTTAGGTCCAGTGGCGTCACTAGGGTCAGCGGCACTCGGGGCGGTCCACCTCCCCCTCCCCCTCCCGAATTTCTGAATTCCGATATGACGATTGCCCCAAACAAGCTTGTGCATCGAACAATAATTCATGCACGCCGCAGAACCCGTGGATTCTGGATTTATATGCCCACCCCTGCCCGTTTCGATCTGGATGAGCATCGGTCTTGCGTGCACGGTCGTGTATCACTAAGGCCCGATGCACGCGTCAAAGATCCCGAGCGAGCAATGCTATTGCACTGGCTAAATTTGTCACCTACAGCGGACATACAAGTTGCACATTAGGGCCGACTAACTTTACGCTGCCTAAAAATACACACAGCGCTATTCCCTGGCGTTCAGCTTGAGGGCCCTTGTCAGTTTGGTTTCGCCAAGCTTTGTAATGGTACTAATTTTACATCCAGGGAAATTGGCACTTCCCGTCATTGACGAAGAAGCGATGACAATAACGGTGACGATATTCATAGTGAATACTGCCGCGTCAGGCAGTAAACGGGTCCCCGTACCGTATTCCTCCTCCTGCTTCTCCTGCGCAGCGGAGAGCGGCTTCACGCAGGGCCTCGAAGCCAGGCGGGAACTTCCTCGCTGCAGGGGCGTCGCTGCTCCCGCCACGGCGCTCTGAAAGGGCGGAGCACGTGACGTCGGACATGATGTCGACTGACGTCATAGTCACGGATTTTGCATGATCAGTCGCGACTGTGCAGTGCACGTATGACCGAATAGTAAAGGCATGTAGCGCAGTGATATGGGATGCTTTACCACGCCCTATTACTTCAGCATGTAGAAGTGTGCGGTTTAAAAGTGTAGCCTCACTGTTTTTGTATTCTTTTTTTAAATTGGAGATGGGATAATTGAAACTAAAGTAGGTGTGCAGGTCAGCTGGTCAAATACTGACACGCTAACCCATGAGCGGGGGAAAACCAGGACGGACAACACAAAGCTGGAGCTTTGTTTTGTCCGTCCCGTTTTTTCCTCCGGTCCTGACCGTGGTCGTGAGTTAATTGTTGAAATAAAAGCTTTGTCTAGGTGGCGCAACAGCCGCCGCCCGATTAAAAGGTTTCAGCCGCAATCGTCCACCCATTCACCCAACTGACTGATGCAGAGAACGTGTCGCAGAATCAGGCACAAAACTGCGTCACACGGAGCCGCCGTGGCGCAAGGCCGTAAGACTATAAAGTTTTCGCATCATCGAAATGAGACCAAAGCGGCGCAGCTTCGGCCGAACGCTAAGGCAGCACTTCCGTCCGATACCCCTGCCCTGCGTTGGCCTCCATTCGGTGACGTCATGATACCAACCTTGGGGGGCCTGTTCTCTTTCCCGGATGATCCTGCGGCGGCAGTGGTCGAGGCCTCTGTAAGACGAATCGAAAAAATTGAGACTGATCATGCGGGTAACCCTGAAATCTTCGGCGTTTACAAAAGAAAGCCAAGATACGTGAAACTCGCCTAAAAAAAAAAAAAAAAAAAGTGTTTCGGTTTTTTTTTTTTTTAGAGCGCAGCTCTTAGGCGCCCGTTTCCGGCTTGGGCGGCGTCGCCGTCGGCGACGCCGACGGCGACGCCAGGTCACGTGACCCCTCCCAAGGTCCCCCCAAGGTCACGTGACCCCCCAGGTCACGTGGCCCCCCTCCCCGAGGTCACGTGACCCCCTTCCCCCTCCCGAAGTCACGTGACACCCCTCCGCCCCCCCCCCCCCCCCGAGGTCACGTGACCCCCTCCCCCGACGTCAGGTGACCCCCCGGAGCATATTAAAGAATGAGGGGAGAAGGAGGAGAAGGAGGAGGAGGGGTCTACCCTCCCCCCAGTACACTTCCCTCCTCCTCCTCAAGAGCTGCGCTCCGATTCGGCGTTACAGGGAGTTGTAAACGGCTTTCACTTTTTTGTATTTTTTGTCTTTTGAGTGTTCATCTGCGTATCTAATTTACAAGTTATAAGTATAGGGTTTCGAGTTTTTAGATATATCCGAAAAACTCTTAAAAAAAACGCTAGGCTGAAAAATTTTGGTTACCTCGGATTTATGCGAAAAAATGATTACATAGTTTTGAGGGCAAATAAAAAAAATCGATTGTATTTCAAAGGAATCTTGGTAGGAGGGAGCAAAGAATTATCAAACTCCGAATCTCGGAGAATTGGGAATATAGCGAGCATAGATTTCGAAAAACCACGATTTTTTTGGCAAAAAATAAACCCCGAAAAACACTATTTGAAATTTACTAAGAATAAACTTCGAAAACATGGGACCGCTGACGAGGCTTCGAAGCGACGAGCATGGTGAAATGATTTTTCATGAATGCTTGAAATGTCGTACATCCCCAAAAAAAATTATGTGCGCCTTTTTTTTCTTTTTCTTTTTTGATACAGCTGTTTTTGTGTGTTTTTCGACCCGTTCCTGATATTTCCGCCTGACATTTCCCGTTTTTCGAACTTACGCTTTCTCCCTGCAGATCCAGGTCTTGATGAGGGCTTCGGCTTGATGAAGTCGGGCACCAGTGGAGTGCAGCCTATGGAAGAACCTCATTCAAGTTCATCACACTGCCATCGTTTCTTCGAGTGGAAAGGGGGATCTAAGGCAGCGACTGAACTCGCCGAGCCTTTGTTGTCAGTTTCATGGAGCCCAGACATCTGATACAAATACATCTTCAGTCAGGAAATTCTGCGCCATTTGGGCCTAATTGGGCGATGAGAGGAAGTCTGCTACATTTTGCGCCACAATGACATTTTTGCTAAGACTTGCGCCGCACTTGCGCTGAGGTGGGAAATTCAAAAGAAAATAATATATTATTATTGGTGGGCCACGATATTCAAAGACGCGAGAGGAAAGGTAAGTGGTACAAATATATATGTAGGAATAACAAAGGAGATACAGGGGAGCTGGTGAACATTCAACATGTTGAGCACCTAAGACTTGGAACAAAAAGTGCACGACACACCCGCCCAATTTTTTTTTTTTTTTCAGACTCGGGTTTACAAAACGTTGGGCAGGCTCTTTATGCCTTTCATTTT